GAAACGTTTAACGCTGGGCAGTATTGTTGAGATCAGAGCATTTGTTAAGGTATTTATTCACGCATTTTCACGCGCTTCCTTCAAAACAACACCGCCGCACGACTAAGGCTGTTTCTTACAGAACCGGATTCTTGATCTGAAAAATCGGGTCTATAAGAATCCCGATTTTGGCCATATCGGGATTTTGAGGTTTTTCAGGTCAAGAATCCGGCTCTATAAGAAACAGCCTAAGAGAGCAAGACTTGATACGTTACTTGGTGTACGCAACATTCCCGCAGGGACCTTCGTTTCTGCGGCATAACGGATGCCGATTTGGACGATCTGGCGTTGTGTTTGGAAGCTGCCGGGCCAGAAGCAATCAGAGTTCTGTGAGTGCGTCCCTATGCCATGGGGGTCGTTATTGGCCGGTTGTTTTTGTTGTTAGAAGCGGCCTTTGCAAAGTGCTGTGCTGATACTCGAGTCGGCTTGAGGCGAGCGTACAGCCGAGCGATAAGGTACATTATTGTCACCTAAGCAACAACCAAAGACACCAATCGTCCCCATGACCCATTCAACCCCGACTAGCGCGGCGGCAACCAATTGGTAGGAAGTTGGGTGTAGAATAGGTCGGGGGTGTCTGAATTCACCTCCAGCCCGTTGCTGGAAACGTGAGCACCAAGGATCGTGCTACGTATCGGGATCAGTCGTCGCTTCCTGGCATTCGCCGTAGAGCCTCTACGTGATGGTGCTCTGTTGGCCTCATATCCTAGCCTCTTGTCCGGTTCGCGGTGTACTCAATCTAACCCTGGAACGGTTTCCCGCTGCCAACTCGTCGCCTTCGTTGTAGCCAGAAGTAGGCATGATTGTTGTGATTGTACCCAGGCCATCGCGATCAGCATGTGCGGCAGCAAGCACTGATTCCCGGCTCATGTGTGTTATTTGCTCCGCTCGTGGCCTTCCCTCGACACCCGAAGGTACCTGTACTCCAACGAGCTCACCATGCTGCCTGAGGGAATCTTCGGGGGTCTTACGGCCTTGGAAGAGCTGTAAGTAGCTGTTGGACAAGGTCGTCGGTAGAATGTTTTTCCGCATGGGGCTAGCTTGCGATGGAGAGCTAGGATATCGCAGACAAATCGTCCCCATGACCCATTCAACCCCGACTAGCGCGGCGGCAAGCAGTTGGTAGGAAGTTCGGTGTAGAACAGGTCGGGGGTGTCTGAATCCACCTCCAGCCCGTTGCTGGAAACGTGAGCACCAAGGATCGTGCTACGTATCGGGATCAGTTGTCGCTTCCTGGCATTCGCCGTAGAGCCTGTACATGATGGTGCTCTGTTGGCCTCTAACCCTAGCCTCTTGTCCGGTTCGCGGTGTGCTCAATCTAACCCTGGAACCGTGTCTTTCAACTGCCAACTCGTCGCCTTCGTTGTAGCCAGAAGTAGGCATGATTGTTGTGATTGTACCCATGCCATCGCGATCAGCATGTGCGGCAGCAAGCACTGATTCCCGGCTCATGTGTGTTATTTGCTCCGCTCGTGGCCTTCCCTCGACACCCGAAGGTACCTGTACTCCAACGAGCTCACCATGCTGCCTGAGGGAATCTTCGGGGGTCTTACGGCCTTGGAAGAGCTGTAAGTAGCTGTTGGACAAGGTTGTCGGTAGAATGTTTTTCCGCATGGGGCTAGCTTGCGATGGAAAGCTACTAGATCGCAGACAAATCGTCCCCATGACCCATTCAACCCCGACTAGCGCGGCGGCAAGCAGTTGGTAGGAAGTTCGGTGTAGAACAGGTCGGGGGTGTCTGAATTCACCTCCAGCCCGTTGCTGGAAACGTGAGCACCAAGGATCGTGCTACGTATCGGGATCAGTTGTCGCTTCCTGGCATTCGCCGTAGAGCCTCTACGTGATGGTGCTCTGTTGGCCTCATATCCTAGCCTCTTGTCCGGCTCGCGGTGTACTCAATCTAACCCTGGAACGGGTTCCCGCTGCCAACTCGTCGCCTTCGTTGTAGCCGGAAGTAGGCATGATTGTTGTGATTGTACCCAGGCCATCGCGATCAGCATGTGCGGCAGCAAGCTCTGATTCCTAGCTCATGTGTGTTATCTGCTCCGCTCGTGGCCTTCCCTCGACACCCGAAGGTACCTGTCCGACAACGAGCTCACCACGCTGCCTGAGGGAATCTTCGGGGGTCTCACGGCCTTGGAAACACTGTAAGTAGCTGTTGGACAAGGTTGTCGGTAGAATGATTTTCCGCATGGGGCTAGCATGCGATAGAGAACTACGAGATCGCAGACAAATCGTCCTCTTGACCCTTGAAAGTCCGACTAGCACGCCGGAAAGCAGTTGGTAGGAAGTTCGGTGTGGAACAGTTCGGCGGCGTCTGAGACCACCTCCAGCCCGCGCACCATAGTCTCGCTGCCGTTATGGCGCGCCCAAGCGCTGCACTATCTCGCATGCTGGGGGTTGGATGGATTTGTCTGTGAAACGCGCGATTCGGTCAATTTCTATCTGAATATGCGTCCATTCGGCATTTTAGCCGGTACATTCATCGCACATAAGCAGGTTTTGAGGTGATAAAGAGAGAAAGAGGCGATCTTGGCGTTGCTGGAAACGTGAGCACCCAAGGATCGTACTACGTACCGGGATCAGTTGTCGCTTCCTGGCGTTCGCCTTAGACCCTTTACATGGTGGTGCCCTCTTGGCCTCATATCCTAGCCTCTTATCCGATTGGCGGTGTTCTCAATGCATTCCTGGAACGGGTTCCTACTGCAAACTCGTCGCCTTCGCTTTAGCGGGAAGAAGGCATGATTGTTGTGATTGTAACCAGCCCATCGCGGCGGCTGCGGCGTTGCTAGCGCCGCTGTACTGAAGGACGTGCGTACATGCTGGTGGGCTGGCCGCGCTTCGTAGATCAGCATGTGCGGCAGCAAGCACTGATTCCTGGCTCATGTGTGTTATTTGCTCCGCTCGTGGCGTTCCCTCGACACCCGAAGGTACCTGTACCAAAACGAGCTCACCACGCTGCCTGAGGGAATCTTCGGGGGTCTTACGGCCTTGGAAACACTGTAAGTAGCTATTGGACAAGGTTGTCGGTAGAATGTTTTTCCGCATGGGGCTAGCTTGCGATGGAGAGCTACGATATCGCAGACAAATGGTCCCCATGACCCATTCAACCCCGACTAGCGCGGCGGCAAGCAGTTGGTAGGAAGTTCGGTGTAGAACAGGTCGGGGGTGTCTGAATCCACCTCCAGCCCGTTGCTGGAAACGTGAGCACCAAGGATCGTGCTACGTATCGGGATCAGTTGTCGCTTCCTGGCATTCGCCGTAGAGCCTGTACGTGATGGTGCTCTGTTGGCCTCATATCCTAGCCTCTTGTCCGGTTCGCGGTGTACTCAATCTAACCCTGGAACGTGTTCCCGCTGCCAACTCGTCGCCTTCGTTGTAGCCGGAAGTAGGCATGATTGTTGTGATTGTACCCAGGCCATCGCGATCAGCATGTGCGGCAGCAAGCACTGATTCCTGGCTCATGTGTGTTATCTGCTCCGCTCGTGGCCTTCCCTCGACACCCGAAGGTACCTGTACTCCAACGAGCTCACCATGCTGCCTGAGGGAATCTTCGGGGGTCTTACGGCCTTGGAAGAACTGTAAGTAGCTGTTGGACAAGGTTGTCGGTAGAATGTTTTTCCGCATGGGGCTAGCTTGCGATGGAGAGCTACGATATCGCAGACAAATAGTCTCCATGACCCATTCAACCCCGACTAGCGCGGCGGCAAGCAGTTGGTAGGAAGTTCGGTGTAGAACAGGTCGGGGGTGTCTGAATCCACCTCCAGCCCGTTGCTGGAAACGTGAGCACCAAGGATCGTGCTACGTATCGGGATCAGTTGTCGCTTCCTGGCATTCGCCGTAGAGCCTCTACGTGATGGTGCTCTGTTGGCCTCATATCCTAGCCTCTTGTCCGGCTCGGGGTGTACTCAATCTAACCCTGGAACGTGTTCCCGCCGCCAGCTCGTCGCCTTCGTTGTAGCCGGAAGTAGGCATGATTGTTGTGATTGTACCCAGGCCATCGCGATCAGCATGTGCGGCAGCAAGCACTGAATCCCGGCTCATGTGTGTTATTTGCTCCGCTCGTGGCCTTCCCTCGACACCCGAAGGTACCTGTACGACAACGAGCTCACCACGCTGCCTGAGGGAATCTTCGGGGGTCTTACGGGCTTGGAACGGCTGTAAGTAGCTGTTGGACAAGGTTGTCGGTGGAATGGCATGGGGCTAGCTCGCGATGGAGAGCTAGGATATCGCAGACAAATAGTCCCCATGACCCATTCAACCCCGACTAGCGCGGCGGCAAGCAGAGGGTAGGGAGTTCGGTGTAGAACAGGTTNGGCCAGGTAGTTCAACGTGCTGCGATCACCTGCGTAAGAAATTCATTCGTGGTCCACATGATACTTCGCCGGGGCACTACATATTTGTGTGATTTCCTTATCTCAATATTTGGCATAATGGCTTCAACCTGCCGGTTCTCTGGTAGATCCTTCCCTGCTAGCGAGAACACCTGCAAAGCGAGAAGTTGTGGTTGTATTTCGCGCTTGTCGGGAATTGCAGGCATGCGTTGGCCCGAAGTAGCGGGCAATAATAATAGTTTCCCGACATGGCACACTGTTTTGGGTGCCCCTCTTGCAGTATATCTCCTATATCTCAAGCCCCTCCGGTTCTACTGAAAGTCCTCTCTTTCCCTCGTGAGATTGTCATGGTTCTGTGGATTTCCTCCCAGGCAAAAGTATGGTCCTATACTTGGATTACCATTTTCGCTCTACCTGGAACACCATCGGCGCGGTGCTGCGGCAATGATTTGTTGCTGTGATAGGCGATGGCTCCTCACCAAGTGTTCGTATCGTTATTGGCCACCATGCTAACCTTGTTCCTTCCCCAACGTATGATCCGTTGTTGCATCTGCCGCTCTCGTCCGGTCATGCGCCGGCAAATCTCGTTCGGTACCTGAATTTTAGGCTCCTGGAGGGGAATTCTCTGGAGTGCTTGCCTTCAAATGAACTGTGAGGAACGCTTAAAAAGCATGGGTCTATNTGGACCCTATCGCGTAATGGCGGATCCGGCCCGCATCACGTAGATACCGAGCACGCCTGTTGTTTGCCGCTGCTCGCGATATGGGACGGATGCTTGTTACTACGATAACCAATTGGTGTTGATGCAGGTACCCTAAATAGAAACGTGATTCGTCGAACACTACAATAGTCTTGAGCTACCGCGCTGGCCAAGTTGTTCTGATTTCGCACGCGTGTTGCGTGGACTCTGAGCGCGTCTAAATAATGCATTGCATTGATACCCCGGTCGGTACCCTCGAAACCTTCTAGAGGTCAGGTGAAGGGTTGAGATCCCGGCGTAAGCGAGCTTTTCTTGCAAAGTGAGATTCAGCGCTACTGTAGTTCGTGTGTACACAGAGGGAAGAGTGCTGAAATCTTCTCGCATGAAAATCGAAGGCAACGTACCGCAGGAGGGGAGCGTAGAGTAAACGGCACTAGTGCTGTGAGCGCTGATTTGGAGTGCAAAAAAACAAATTTTGCGTGTAACCGTCAAAAAGGAGAGTTTTACCGGTATTCTCGCCTTATTTGCTTCAACTGTCTGTATAGCGAGACCTGTGTGACCTCTTTTGCGCACTTCGCAGGGTGGAAGTTGATGATGATGCCTCGTTATCTGCAGACGGGCTCCACGTTGATGCATACGGTGACGAATGTGGTGAGTGTCTTGCTGACAACGGTGTACCGATGGGCTTGGGGCGGATAGGTGCTCACCGGTAGCATGTTGCTTTTGCTGCGTCCCAGTTTGCCCCACGAAGGTACCGGGTCGACCAGTAGCAGTTTGCGCGGGATTTTGTTTTTCGCTCCGTTTCCCATTCAAGGCACGATATGATCGACAAGAGATGCAGCGTTGATTGAGCTCAAACCTGGCTGTTCCATACTGTTTGACGGCTCGTACTCGGTGCAGGCCTCTGCGCGAGACTGATGTCGAAGGTAACCGTCGGGCGAGTGATGGATTTAGGCATACTCATTTTGAGAAATATGTGTTGCCATCGCTCTCCCTGAGTGGCACTAGGGCTTGTACCTTCATGTGCAATATCCTCGATGCGCCCCCAAACACTGATGTTCTTTGAACGTTTTCAGGGTGCTCTATTGAGGGCGTAGTCGACAACGTGTGTGGCGAAGAAATTTGCACACCCGGAGATGAAGGGTACACGTGTGGTGAGAGAAGACAGGCCCGAAAGGCAACTCCGTAGTAAATTATCGTTCAAGTTGCTCCTCTTGATCGAGGGGCTTGGGCAGTAAGGAACTGATACTGTCCAACACTGATAGTCTAGATTCATCACACGAGGTGCTTCCCGATGTCTCGAGATCAGCTTAACCGACCGCAAACCCATTCATTACTGTAAATGACCTCAAGAAGTTATTTCAACGGACTAATTATTCTTCCAACTGGTTGAGTGCACGAAACCGTACCACCAAGGGATGGTGGTCTGTCATTCTTCCCTTGTTGGCTTGGCTTTCCGCTTTTCCGGCTGGAGGAATGTAGGGTTAAGCATGAATAACTGGCGAAGCTCTCGATTGTCTAAACGTCTAACCTCAAATTCGTCTTTCAATACCCGCCAACCTGGCACTCGCTGCAGCGGCCACGC